CAATTATTTCAGTAAATTTTACCTTCCCCTGAACTCTCATCTGTATATAATATATACCTTTATTGGAAAAAATTTCACTTCTATTTACTTAATAATAGTTATGTGCTAGAAACAAACACATCTCTTTTCCTACACTCTATGAGTAAGTACCTAGTAAGTGGGGACTGTGGCCAAATCATTCTTATGTCTCCCCAAATAGGTGCTCATTCCAGTGTGCTAGATCCTACACTTTCCAAAAACGGGGAGATACAGATAGAGGAATTTAAGACAGAGTTCCTACTCTCAAGAAACTTACTCCCAAGTTGAAAGAAATACAACTATATAACTTGCAATGAAATTCAGTACTCTGATTTACAATGTCAGAATTAAGAGACCCTAACCTCCAGTTTGCTCGATATTCCTAGAAGTGTTAAACTGGGACATTCTGGAATCTGAAAAAGCAGTTCATAAGAGCTAAAATCCTTTGAGTGAGATGGCTCAATACAAACAGAGGCAGGGAGCCAGAGTATAAGTGTGGATGACAGAGAAATGGACAGCCACATGGAGGTCCCTACAGGGGTAAAAGTTGACATTTGAAATGAAAATGTCATTCATGAGAAGTGACATAGAGAAGTCGGTCAGAATTATGAGTAGATGGGCCCTCCCTGGTGGTACAGTGGGTTAAAGCACTGCACTAAAAAGTTAAAACCACTTCAGCATGAGTTCAATCCCTGCCTGCCCCGGAGGTGATCCACATGGAGTGGCAGACCTCTCCTGACCAGCCCGCTGCTCCCCTCAGCAGTGTACTTCGTCAATCTGCCTGTCCTGCTCCCCACTCTTGTCTCTGGTGAATCCACTCACTGCCCCTGCACCTCTGGCCTGTACCCAATTCTCTATCTATGTACAAATAAATAAATCTTAAAAAAAAAAAATAATGAGTAGCAAGTAAGATAATAAAAACAGGATAAAGGATCTGGACACAGATTCAAGGATGCACTTGGTTGGATGCAAAGTGGTTAATCACGTCCACTTCAGGGAAATATTGTGCAAGTAGTGTCTTTTCAAGGTGCATGGTCATTCAGAGAGGAAGACACATTTCCCAGAAATGACAAGATTTGTTAAATGGCCAGATATAAGATGAACAGATAAAAGTCAAATATACGTTTTTCTCATTATATTGAATACTACATAAGCTTGGAAATTAGAGAAATTCGAAGAACAACTGAGAGAGCAGAAGAAGGCTTAAGAAAGAAGACAATGAACTTTCATACCAGATGGTAGGTCATGCAACTGAAAAATCAAGTTAGCAAGTAACTTGTTCACTTACTACATGACTGGGTGTGCATACATCCATGTGCACAAGGGTGTGGAGTGTATTTAGAACTATTTTCACTGCAGTTGAAATCTCATCTTTTTGTTATTCAGGAACTAAGAAAATAAATGACTGTGTGCTTATGCAAATAGATTTGCCAAGAATCAAAATACTCTTCACAAAATATACTCATGTTCATGGCGTGCTAAATAAACAGAACTAGTAACCTGCAACCTAGATTATGTCTACATGCTTGTTTTACCACCTGATTTACAAGGAGTCGGTGTTAGTTTGTTTTTTAGGTCTGATTGCAACAGTCCACCATCAACAATCATAATTTAAGGAAATGTTAAAGAAATCAATGAAATAAGCTTTGGGAAGTTCTGATAAGGATTGCTCACTGAAAAAAAATAAAACAAAAACTTGCTCTCAAATCGTACAGATTGAAGGATTCTGCTATCTTAGACACCTTATTTGTGTTTGAGTCTCAGGTTCTTTTTAAAGCAATGAAGATGAAATTTTAGGCTACATTATGGTGTCAACTATAATGGCTTAACAATTCAACTTTGAACTCTATTGAGCACAACCATCTCATACCTCAAAAGTCTGGAGAAGGAGGCATGCTTATATATTTTAACATGAAAATGTTTAAAAGATGGTTGTTTTTGTTTTGGTCAAGTTTCACCAGTTCAATTTACTAAAGTTAACTCCTATTTCTAGTACAAGAGAGAATTCAAATTGCATAAGGTTTCCTCAAAGTAACTAAAGCACAGACTGACCTGCTGACCTGCTAGAGTTCACTAAGAAAGCACACTGTTGTACTTCTGATTTTTTTTTTTAAGATTTATTTATTTACTCATACAGAACTGGGGTACAAGCCAGAGATGCAGTGGGTGAGAGGATTCACTAGAGACCGAGTGGGGAGCAGAACAGGCAGATCAAGGAAGTACACTGCTGAGGGGAGCAGCGGGCGGGTCAGGAGAGGTCTGCCGCGCCAAGTGGATCTCCTCCGGGGCAGGTGGGAAATCGAACTCATGTGGAAGTGGCTTAAGCTTACTATCAGTTACATTCACACATTTAATGTTTTTATTAAAACATTTTGCTATTTTTGTACTAGAGTATGAAACATATTTAGAACTCACCTCATCTTATTTTAATTCCTTTTTATTGAAAATTATCATTAAAAAATGGAATTGTGTGTTTAAGTCACTTTGTTTTCATGTAAGCCATGCTGGAGGAAGAACACATACATGAAGTTTTCTTGCAGAGTTGCTGTCTGAGCTAACTAAGCCTGAGGTGATAAGCAGGTGAGGATGAACTATGTAAGCAGAGGTAGCAGCAAGGATGTTATGTTTAGAGTGATAGAGAGTAGATAGACTGAAAAGAAGTGAGCAAGTAGGAAATTAAGAAGTTTGATGAAACATGAAGATGGAGAAGCAGGCAGTATTCTCAGCTAAAATTTACTGATTACATACTGCATGCTCAGTTCTGTTTTAGTGAGCAAAATACACAAATCTCTACCATGTGATTAAGTAAATTACATAAAATATGGACTGTTAGATATTAATTTTTTTAAAGATTTATTTATTTGTACATACAGAACTGGGGTACATGCCAGAGGTGCAGGGACGGTGAGAGGCTTCACCAGAGACAGAGTGGGGAGCAGAACAGGCAGATCGACGAAGTACACTGCTGAGGGGAGCAGTGGGCGGGTCAGGAGAGGTCTGCCACGCCATTTGGTCACCTCCGGGGCAGACGGGAATCGAACTCATGCAGAAGTTGCTTTAGATTCTCAGTGCAGTGCTTCAACCCGCTGCGCCACCAGGGAGGGCCCAGATATTAATTTTTAAAGGAGGAAAAGCAAGCAGGCAAAGAGAAGGTAAAATGTTTGGGGTAGGAAGTGGAGAGTCTAGAATATTAGCTACTGCAGCCAAGGAAAGATTCACTTAAGAGGTTTTGGGGTCAAAACTGGGGGTGGGGAAGGGGAACACTACGGAGTCGGGGGGAACAGCAAGGAAACCAGTGTGGCCTGAGTTGAATGAGGAAGGAAGAGAGAAACGGGGGATGTGGTCAAAGAGGAAAGGGGAGAGAGGCAGGTCATGAGGGCCTATTAAGCCTAAGACTTGGAATTTTAGCATTAGAGATCTCTGCATTTTTGTCAAGCTTTGGCATGTCATGCTGAAGCATGGGGAGGTTTTCTTAACCCAGAATAAATTCACTGACACATCATGGGCAAGTACAACTTTTCATGACTTCCGAGGAAAGAGCAGGTTAGAGGTGGAAGATCACCTAGGACACTGCAGAGGTCTCAAGAAGATCAAAAATGATTAGGCTCTAAGTATGTTAGTAATGGAAAATCCACTCTTATCTAAACTATTAAGATACTAAAAAGGGATGATTGTTGTGTAACCTATTCTGCTTTCTTGGTCTAAAAAGACTGAGCAAAATGAGAAGAAAACAATCAACAGCAAACATTCCCCAAATATTTTCACTTCAAGAAAAAGTAGAAATTGTGTTTATACTTCAAACAGTGGACTCATTCGTTAAGTGGACCCATTCGTTAGCTTAGAAGTCATACCGGCATGTTTGAGGAGTTGAGGCCCAGAGGCCAAGAGAGATTTAATCGCAAAGCATAGTCAAAAGCAATAGCATAATGTCACCAATGTCCATCTGACATAACATGGTTTACACTGGGTGTGCCATGCCTAGAGATCTGGTTCCAGTTGAACTTGGGGTCACTGGTAAACCTCACGAACAGCCCAGCCAAAGTGGCAGGTGGAGATGAATTTAGCTCAGGTCTGGCTCACCCAGGCCAAGCCATTTATTCTGGGTTTGGGTGGATCTGTCCATAAAACACACTTTGTGTAATGTACAAAAAGACTCAAAATAAGTTAGAACATTTGTCCTTTAATTATAACCCCAGAAGAACAAAGGAAGCTGGGTCAGTTATGGTAGGAAGAGTGAGAGATGCAGGAAGATTGCACTATGGGTTATAAAGCCCCTACTACAGAAGATTCCATTCCTTCTCTTTTAAAACATAATGATGCCACAACTCACAATTTTTCCTTTTCTCCCTATAATATAATATCCAAAGATTTCACATTTCCATCCATGGTTCTGTTTAGGACACAAGCACAAAGAATCTAGGTTTATTTCCTCAGAACTAGCATTGGACTATTAAAAACAGCATCATTATTATTTCTACAACAAACATTTAGAAGGGCCCTAAATTGTACTTAAGCACAATTACCTTAATGTCAGTTGATATTTTACGATACAACTGTGAGGTACTTTATTTTTAAGGCAGTTTAACCTGCTTTATTCCTAAGAACAGACACTGGTGTTTTAAATCTAAGGTTCTCAATAAGATGATTAAGCTATGCTCAGCAGTTTCTTTAAATATTTAAGGGAATTTTCATCATCTAAATATTTATGGCAACAACACAGCCAGGGGCAATTTTTTCCTTCTGTTTATCAGGATAGGAGATCCATATTCTTTCCAAGGGTGGGGAGGGGGATGCCTCTGCGATCAAAAAATACTACCAAGGTCTTTAGAGTCCTATAAACTGATGAGAAAACCTTATTCAAACATATCCATGAGAACTGAACAAATACTGTAGTACCCAAACACCTAGTAAGATCCATCTTAAGCACTTGAGGATAGACTGCAGGGCAACTGTCTCAAGAGTATTTTCTCTTTAAGGTGAGGGCCTTCTGCCCATGGATTTTATTTACAGCATCACATCAGCAGCCTTCCAGCAGGTCTACCACCACAATTGTGGCTGTATGATACCCCTTTCCTAAAGCCAAGAGGACAGCACTCCCACAGCTCAGACGTGGTTCAGAGGATCTCTATGGCGTGACACTACCCAGCACCAAGGTAAGGTGTTCAGGATGCCAGCTCAGCACTGCTGGTCATCAGTGTGCCTTTCCTGCGATGGCCTCCTTGGGGCTAGACTCTGAGCAGCTCCTTTTGGAGAAGTCAAACTCAAAGGAGTTCTTTAGTCACCTTAAACTGTGAGGGAGGGAGCTGTGCACATGTGTAGGTTATAACCTAGGCCTAAACTTAGATATTGGAGAGGAGGTATTCAATGTTTCCTTCACCCTAAAAATATCTCTGTGTGTAGATGTGGGCAGGTATTAGTCAGTTTATTTTAGATGATGAAAATGTTAACACTGAGCTTTAATGATTAAAGTCAGTTTTATTAGCAGAGACCATTTCTTATGCCATATATCCGAATATTAGATTTTCTACAATTATTCATTATTTTCAAATTAATATTTATTGACTACTATATATGACACATTTGTACTGGAAGCCAAGAACACAAATTAACAAGACAGAACTGATCTCTGCTCTCAAGAGTTTACAGTTTAATGGAGACATGGATATCAAATAAACAGGTAAGCAAATATAGGATCATAACAGGTAAAAAATTCCACAAATTATATGTATAGGAGCAAGAAGAAGAGCAGGGAAAAGTCATCTAGGTGACACCAAATTGAGACCTGAGTCTAGTTTCAAAACATCTATATGGTACAGGAAATGGGATGTAGTCCATAAAGAAAGAGCAAAGAGTGTAGTAGTCATCCATTTAATAGAAAGCCTTTAAATAATTTTCTCCTATATCTGATGTTCCACCTTCTGGGCTTGGGACACAGTGCTTTACTAAGAGTAAGGAAATTTGATCCCGTTCTAGTTCCACCACCAAATCCCAGTCTTGTTGCCCTGTCCCATTTACCTTGGAAGAAGTGAGCATCTCTGTCAAAGAGAGGTGAAGTCATCTGTGCTGGGCTACTGGATAGCAAAGAGGGAATGTAATGTGAACACGATACAACAGAAAACCTGCAAATGCTGAAGGTCGTTATATTATTAGTTAAGTCTTAGTAGTTAATAAAATTCTATCTTCCTTATAAAAACTCTTAACGTGTCCTAAGAGGAACACAGGTATGTTCAGCTCCTTAAAAAAATATAACCTAAGCAAATTCAAATTTTAAAATATCCATTTGGTATGCTATACCTAGTATTAATATTTTCATAGGAATGAAATAAGAAGGTTGTCTAGAGTCCCATAACTAATATTGGCCATCATTATTTGAAACCTATGTAACAAAGACTTCCTCTTGCAGTATCCTGGCATATACTGGTTAACAACATGGACTCAAGTTAAACCATCTGAATTCAAGTCTCAGCTTTATGATTTACTGGCTATGTGACTTTGGGTAAGTGATTAAAATGATCTGTGCGCCGCAGTTTCTTTATCTGTGGGATAAAGTTTATAATCACAAAACACAGTTTTGGGAGAAGTAAACAAATGTAAATAAAGAACTAAGAACAGTGTTATATAATGTTTGAAATTATTACTGTACAGTAATTTCTGTGTGAGAGTCAGTATGAATTAACTTCAAAAATTCAGCTTAAGTAGTATTAATCATTCAGTATGAATGGGCAGGGCTTATTATTTTTCACCAAAACTCTTGTAGAAAAGGGGAAATAATTTACCTCATGTGTCAGTCATGAAAACATTCCTCAACACATCTTTTGACTGGTGATAACAGTATCATACTTTTTATGCGTTGCTCTTAAAGTTTCTGTCAACACTTTGCACACATTTTACCCTCACAGCCACTTCGTCAGACAGATGGATAGATGTTTGGGTGTACAGATGGTGGATGAAAGGTGAATAAAACCTTAGATTTGGACAAGTTAAATGGCTTGATTAGTGTCAAATGAAAAGTGGCTCTTGTAGTACCCAATGCCTGTTTTGAAAACTAAGCCCCTGCATCTTGAAACTTTCTCTGTAGCTCACTTGTCCTGTAGCTCACTTGTCCTGGGGTACACACACAGTCCAGGAACAGCGGGCCCTATAAACTCTTTCCACAATTGGTTTGATGGAAACATTGATCACATTAGGGGCAAAGTAACTGGTTAAGTGAGTTTGTTACTCTTTCTCTTCACTGAATCTGAAAAGCTCTCAAAGAAAATCAAGAAAACAGAAGTCTATGTTACCCTGACCTCTGGTAGGGTAACCAGAACTTCTGTAGATTTTACAGAAAATTGAAAGTTTTGAAGCACTGGCTGAATTGCTGAAAAACAGAGAAAAAGGTGAGCAAACCTGAGAACCATCAAGACATTTTGTCACTTTTTGGAATATTTAAAGCTTATTTATTTGTAAGGTCATTGCTGACTATCTCTTAACATGTACTTTATATATAGTCAGCCCTGACCAATGTCTTCATGGATAAATGTGTTTGAGAAATATAGCATACTCTACCCGGCCTCCCACTCCCCCTCCCCACCCGAAGGAGGGTAAGAGATGGAATGGGAACAAAGAAGAGGTTCTGAAAAGTTTTTAAAATTTTTTTTAAGATTTATTTATTTATGCATACAGAACTGGGGTACAGGCCAGAGGTGCAGGGGTGGTGAGAGGCTTCCTCTGAGATAGAGTGGGGCACAGAACAGACCTACTGACAAAGTACACTGTTGAAGGGAGCAGTGGGTGGGTCAGGAGACATCTGTTGTGCCATGTGGATCACCTCCCAGATGGGATCGAACTCAACACTGAATTGGCTTCGGCTCGGTTGCAGTGCAGTGCTTTAACACACTGCATCACCAGGGAGGGCCCGGTTCTGAAAAGTTTTTAATAAAAAGTTGGGCTTAATACTTCTCAGGTTTTCTCAAACTCATCTGACTTCCATACCTTTTAAAGTGTAATACTTGCTAATATCTAACAGAATGAATGTGTATGGAATACCCTCAGGATATTGGTTTAGGCACATTTCACCATTTCAGCTTTTTTTAGGAGTGGTGGGGAACCTTTGTTTTGTCATTAGAGCAAAAAGTTCACTTAAAGACTACTGATTTAGTATTCTGTCAGCTAAGATATGGAATCTAAGGCCTCCACAGATCTGAAGAGGCCACAGAATCCAGTAGGAAAACCTGACTAAAGTCTTAGAACTTCAGGAAACCTATACTTTCCATAAAAACACAGACTGCTTCATTTCAGAAAGTTTCAGAAAGTTTCTTTCAGCACTAAGATTCAGTCTGTTGAAAGACTGTAAATTGGAATCCAGGCTTTAAGTTAATAATGAAATGACATTAATCCCACAAAGACAAACAAAGGCATAAATATTATAAGGTGGTTTCATATGGCCTACAAACCAATCTGAAGTAAGAGCAACAGCAGGTATGTTCTAATTCACCCTAGGTTTAAAGCATTGGGATTTGATCAGTGGAACCTTCTCAGTAAGACTTTCCAACAGCAGAATTCAGAACTGCCACAACAGCTAAATAAGTTATATCTTGCCACAAGATAATTTTTGTATGAAGAAGTGGAAGCAAGCAGTTTCATACACTATGTGAAAGAAAAATAGAAAAGAAGGCCAAAGTGGGCAAAAATCTTAAGATGTTACATATATACACCCTCTACTAGACACACACACGTCCCAAAACAATTACAGCAAACAACATTTCTCAGCAGCACTAGTATAGTTAAGAATGAGAATGCTGAGGGGCAAAGAGAAGCAAAATTCCTTTCTCCCAGGCCCAGCTCCGAATACCACAGCATGAATGTGCTCGAGGGTGGGAATACAGGACCCTGTGCCTAAGGTAACAAATCTAGCTAAGCACCTTTTGCTCATTTCTTCTTTTTTTCTAGCACACCTATTACTTTCAATTAAAAAAACAAAACAAAACAAACAAACAAAAAACACAAAATAAATGGGCACAAAGGCAGGGAGGAGGGGAAAGTATACTCATATACCAGACCACATCACACAACACGGCTCTCTGGGAGTCCAGTCTGATGGTGACATGTCAAGATCAAAAAGAGAAGAAAATGTGGTCAAACAGCCTCTTGTAAAAAATATGACTAATGATAACCTAGCCGAATTGACTTAAATAAGGCATATCTAATTAGACCTGGCAACTTTTAAACTATCATTAATATCTACAGATATGATATGGCTCCTTCAATTTTTTGTCACGAGAATGTGATAATACATTAAGACATACAAACTACAAATCAATAGCACCTTTATAAATATTTTAATTAGCATTACTTAGCATTATGTGGGCATCTTCATGAGCCAACACTGTACAATTTTTAAAATGCCAATACACCTATTAAGCATATTTATGGTTAACGTTGTAAAGTTTTAAGGGGTTTTATCTAAGAAATATAGTTCAATGAGAAAAACAACCTTGAATTAATCAGAAAACATTTTTTACTACAGTATGAAAAAAAAAAAGAAAAAGAAGATACTCTGTTCTTTAAAACATAATTGAGCATGAGGAAACCCATGAGGAAAATTTCCAGTGTCACCTGTATCTGTCACATGTCATCTTGGCAACATCTCTACCAAAGTCATCGTTTCCTCATCTGCAAGATGAGGATTGTTTGTTTGCCTCCTCTGCACTGTATACAGACAGAGGAAAATGATAAGTTATTGTCTTCCAGAACAAAAGCAATGATTTGTGCAATTTACTGAGAATCAAACTTCATATAAGTTCTAAAAATAACCACTTTAATTCTAGGTTATATGTTATCAAGTCCAAATCGCCTTGGAGAACTTTCTTTCTTTTTCACAGTTATATGCAAACTGTAAAAGATACCTGACAAATTTTTTAAATGGTCAGTGATACTTACACTGCCTTCCTGAATTTAGATTAAAATGTAGATTATTAATTAAAAGAAATCCTGCAAGCTGCAAGATAGATGCAAACCTTCAAAATTATCAAAAATACATCAGTGCTCTGATAAAATTTAGTGATCTCTAGATTCCTGATTCAGAACTTTATATTCAGAAAATATAAAGTTTTAATTCTTAAAATGTCTTTCCATCTTGATTGGTTAACACAAGTGAAAGCTAGAGAATCATCTAATGGTCACAGACTGTTCAAATCCCAGGTAACATTATTTTTAAAGTACCATCTTTAGAAATTCTTTGCAGTGAGTGGGCAAAGAAGACAATGCTGGATCCAAATAACTGGTTTAGAAACCCATTCTCTGCTCCCTATAACATGAGCTGGAACAATACTCAATCTGAGTGTTGGTTTCCTCATCTGTATAAAGGGAAAAACAGAACCTATCATTTAGGACTACTGAGAAGACTAAGTGAGAAAAAGTGTACAAAATCCCTAACACAGAATTTAGATATAATTATGAATACTGAATCAGTGCTAACTTGCTTCTAAGTAGCAAATTATATCCCACATCACACTACTGAAAGATTTTCTAGTAACAGTCCTGGTTGGGCCCCAGTGCTGACATTTTTTACTCTAATCTATGTTTATAGAAGGAGTAAATAATCCAAACAAAGAACATTCCAGCATGCAGTGCTGATGGTTACATGATAAGGCAGGGCCTGGTACCAGCACCAGGACTGGCTATCTATTAAGGTGAAAACACATAACTTTGATAATGAAGCTGTCTCCTGATTTATAGGAGCTATGCTGTCTTAACTCCTGGGATTCAGAGTCAACTAAGATCTAGAGAAAACTGTGCCTGGAGCAGAGGGGAGATGAATATGCAGTCAGGATTCAAAGGGGGAACATTTTAAGCTTGAAATACTAAAGCTGTTCTGAAAGAAAACAGAGTTTTAAGTTCACAAAGAAAACTTATAAAAAGAGAATTAGAAAGGTTTTCAGACTCATTATCAGTAACAGTTACAAAAAAAAAAAAAAAAAAAACACAACTCCCTCTCCTAAACTCATCCCTTTATGGCAGTGCCAAGAACTTTAATGAGCAATCTGAATTTTGTCTCAGCATTCATAATTGTATTAACACCCCAAGCAGAACAACTCTGTCTTCTTAAAGCTGTGAGGCCGCGGTCTCATTTTAGCACATTTGTAGAATGGTCACAGGTACACAAAGTCTCATTAACCACATTTACAATCCTGTAAGAATTCTGTAGTGCTGCAACCAGAAACACTTTCCCATGTAAACAGTGTAATTGTAGCTTTCTGGTAGCCCTTTTCACTTTTATTCCAAGGACTTCATAGGAAATGGACTCTGAAAAGCTGATTGAGGAAACTAGCAGAGATACTGCTCCCATGAAAGCTTTTAAAAACCTATCACAGGCCCTCCCTTGTGGCGCGGCAGGTTAAAGCACAGCACTGAGAAGCTAAAGCCACTTCCGCATGAGTTCGATTCCCGCCTGCCCTGGAGGAGACCACATGGCGTGGCAGACCTCTCCTGACCGGCCCGCTGCTCCCCTCAGCAGTGTTCTTCATCGATCTGCCTGTTCTGCTCCCCACTCTGTCTCTGGTGAAGCCTCTCGCCTCTGGCCTGTACCCCAGTTCTGTATGCATAAATAAATAAATCTTAAAAAAAAAACCAAAACTATTACAAACTTTTTTCATTAAAAATTGGATGAAAATTACAGAAAAGTTTTTAACTTTTTAGAATTTAAGTACAGACAGTTTAAAAAAATTATACTGATCTTCATATCTTACATGCAGATGAAAGAAAGCTACATGCTATGTGAGAGAAGATGGAGGCCACCCCTCAGGTCCTGGCTAGAACCTCATAGGACCTTCAGAGGGACAATCCTCATTCATCAGGGAAGTCCTGGATGGAACTAGCTGCTTTCTTGTGACTATTCTGAATCCTGTGCTCAAGCCAAACTGAGTGCCTAGTGTTTCCTATGCATGTCTCGTGATGATTTGTCCCTTTGCCCTTTGACAAGCTGAAATCCTTCCTGTTCTTGTCGGACCACATGAAAAACACAAACTTCTCTATAAAACTCTCTTCACCCTCCAGGACAGAAAGAACTTTTTACTTTTTAAAAAATTCTTTAGTAAACAATTTATATCTAGGTATCTAATATTTTACTTGTATCTTGAATTACAGTTGTTTTGAAAGAGATCTCATTGCTCTGTCTAGCCTACAAGCCACTTGAGGGCAGAATACTTGTTTCCATTATTTAGCAACTAGCTCATAGTAGGCCCACAATAAACACTTAATGGGTAAATATATGAACATTAATTAGAAGTGACTATTAGTGTTATCCCAAAGACAATTGGGGTATTTTCCTAAGAGGATGACAAGAGTACTTTCCAAAGCAGTTGTATTATGCAATAATTCATGACAATGTTTCAATATTATAATATTTTGCAATCAATAAAAATGCAAATTCCTTAAGTATTTTATGTTATTGAGTAGTGATTACACTATTTAACAGGCACAGAGGATATGATTATGAGTAAGACATCTGCACCACTGCTGAGGAACCTGAAGTCTAGTGAGAGAGATAATATGTTAAGCTAGAAAGCACTAGTATACAGTAGTTAATTACTACAACAAACATCAGCACTGCTTCCTGGATCACAGATCAGCATAGTAACAAACTTAAATTCAGCTATAAAACCTACCAGGAGCATATTTCTGCACAAAGGGTGCTTACCTTTCTGCTGAAACTCATTTTGGACTTGATCATTTTTTCCTACAGGTCAGTCAACCCTAAAACAGGTTTCAGTACATAGGATTCAAGTCACATATTTGGGTTAGTCAACTAGATAACCAATGTTTTGCAAATCTTAATACATACTAAAAAACAGAAAGGTAGTTCTTACATCTATCACCACTAACAGCACAAAAACACTAGAATTCTTGCAGATTTTCTCATGGCAAGTCTTTCAACCACTATCCATTCTGTTTTATATCTGCCATGAATGTCTTGACCTGGATTACTAAATACCTCCAATTTCTTCACATCTACATTGACATAACACATAATTTCCAGAATAACTTTCCTGCCATGAAATTTTCACCAAATCATTCTACAGTTCAATACGCTTATTGGTTCTTTACTGCCAAGGGATCCAGACACAGACTTGTCACACCACACTAACTCCCACACAACAACGTCATTTTTCAACTATCAGATTTTTATTCTTTCCATTTGCCTTCTCCTCATTAGTGTCTACTTATCCGATCTGTCTATGCTTTGAAAACTTTACACCTGTTTCCCTAGAATGCCCACTCACGTTCACACATCACTTCCTCTTGTCACCTTCAATACCTAGCACTAGTCATACCTCTACTGGGAAGTTACTTTTGAAGAAAGTCATTGGTGCTGTCACCTTCTGTTATAGGTCATTTTACATTTAAGACCCCAAATCCTAACACATAAATTTCTACTTACTGATGTCAACAATTTGGTAAATATACTATAGCTTTCACCGAGAACAGCTCCTCCATGAACCTTTAGGACATGAAAGATAGCAATGTATCTTGCACACATAAGTTATTCAATAAATTTTCCCAACAACATTGGTAGGAAACATTTGGCAACCATACTATGTCACAGTTTTCTAAAATGAAACAAGTTCCTCTGTGGATTTTTTTAAAGTTACAAAAAAAAAAAAAAAAAAAAAACCAACCTCTTAGCTTTAGCACGTCCATAGTATCCATAATTTAAAACGAGAAAAGTCAAAGTCACTAACCTGAATAAAGGGGCTGATGTGGACATTTTGAGTTCCACTCTAAAGCATGAGGTCCAAAACCTGTATAATTTCTATTCGGGAACACAGAAAAGATTATGTGTGTGTGTGTATGATATATATATATATATGAGTCTAACCCATTTAAGATGTGAAAACATTATATATATATTGTTGTTTCTATTTACTTATTTATTTAATTTTTTTACATCATTCTTCATTTTGTCCATTTTTCTGTCTCATTGTAATCCTCATGGATTCACCTGTGTGCCATCACCACAGAAAGCAGCATCACTGGCTACTTTAAAAGAGCCTCCAAAGCTCTAAGTTATAATATCACTTAAGAGAAGATGATGAGGTCTTTTATCAATTTCTAAGGAATAGAGATGGTGACCTAGCTGGTTTTATAACCTGTAATGATCAGCTGGCACATCTTTTACAATTCAGATTTAGGGTTCTGAGTTGAAGGTGAACTTGAATAAGTGCTGTATTTTTGACTATTCTAGTCTGTTTACACATCTTAAATGGGTTAGACTATTTTTCCTATGGTGTCAAACAAATGACTAAAGAAACCTGCTTATACCCTCAGATATCAGAGAAATTGTCTAGGAACAATCCATCCCCCCTTAAAGATGTGAGTCACAGCACACCAGTGAGGTCAGGGAGACCTCTGCTAGTCAAGGAAGTGCTAGCCACACATTCACTCAAGCTGTCTTAAAGAAGCTGATGTTTGTTTGTTTGTTTTAATTTACAGGTCATTAATCATCTTTACAGAAAAGAAAACGTCCAACTTCATCACTAGGTGCAGAGACTCTTGCTAGGCCTTCATCTTGGTTTCCTTTCTGTCTATTTGGTGCGTTGCAGCTATTAAAAGGAAAGACACATGCTTGGTTATGAAAGGAAGATAGGGAGATTCACTTAATAGCACTGTATGATAAAATCGCAAAAACAGCAAGGCAGAAAACACAGCTATGGGATATTGATACTACCTTTCTCACCTCCTTTCAAGTATTCTTTCTCTGATCTTACTTTCTTATCATTAGGTAGGAGAAAGTCACTGTTTCCCACCAGAACTAGATATACTGTGTAAGTTTGCACTAGCTTTTAAAATAAAGGTTTAAAACTTGGTTAATTTCTTTTTCCTAGTTTGGAAATTAAAAGTCGTCTCAAATGTTTGAATCCTCCTTGGCACTATGCACATTACAGGCTACGGAAGGCAGAGAGGACACTGAACAGGTCTGCAGATATTATCAAATTTTATCAATGGATGATGGATGAAATCTTTGGATTCACTGCTGTAGGTGATATGTTATGCTAAAGTGCAAATTTCACTAAAATAGCCAGCTTCACTTTTTCCTTAACTTGAGTAGAGTTTGTGGGAATTTATATGCTGAAAAGTAGCACATTTCCTTCCAGTTGACCCAAAGTGTGAAGTTCTCATTAAAATTCTCCCTAACTTGTATATGAGGTCTGTCAAGAATCAACTTGTTCCTCAAAAGTCAGGGAGAAGGAAGGGCAAAAGTAGGAGCTCACTGCACCTCAGCTTTGATTTAATGTAAATGATTTCTCAGTCACAAAATTTAATCTAACTCCAGCAGTAGAAATAGCAAATCTTTTTTGCTGCTAAACAAAGGCACTTTCCCCATATTACACAAATATTATTTCACTGAAACAAACACAACACAACACTAAAACATATGTAGTATTGTTAATAATCTACTAAAATACTCAGGTTCAAATTCAATGCTCTCCATAAAAATTTCGTTGTGATTATACTTATGACACTTACACAAATATTTAGAACTGGAGATTAATGTGGGACCTATTTTCATTTCTGTTTGAAATCAGCCTCTGCATGTGTGTGCACGTGCATGTATCCACACACAGACAACACTCATTCTTCTAAGAAAACTTGACGAAACTATCCTCCTCAACATTTAGACTTTTTCTCCTTCCTTGAAGTGGTGGGAAAATTAATACTAGAAAGGTTGCTAAACCATCAAATTGCTGATGTAACTTTCTTTCTCATAAATAGAACTGAGCACTTTTTAAAACTATGCTTCTGCAACCTGTAGTAAGTACAATTCTGAGCAGTCTGAAAGATGTTAATTAGGACACTATGACATCTTAAGTGGCAATAATCCTTATACCAAGAAACACACAATCAAACTAAGGAGATCCTCCTTCTGCCTCTGTTGCAAAACCTATAAAATGGGATAATGCTGACACAGAGCAGTTCTGGATACTAATAAAGGCCAAAAAAAACAATAAAATAGAACCTGGGCAACAATGTAATTAAATAAACAACTTACTGAACTAACTTGTTGCAGGATGACAAAGGAACATCAAATAAAACTACTTTGTTGTTCTACTCTATGCATTTATATCAATGTTGGAACCCGGTAACTGCGTATTTTAGCACAATCTAAAACTCTGATGTTTAAAGGGTTTCTATAAAAAAACCTCTAGCTTTATATGAAAACATAATAATTTTTTTAATCATAGAAAAAGCCACCCTAAACACTAATTAGTGAGTATATTAGCCTAGAGAAAAGGACAGCCTTGGGAAAAGAGCACAACTAATTTTGTTTGTGTAAGATTAGGTTTTCAAAGGTAAATTCTTTACAAACAATTGAATGATGAATAAAGTCAACTAGTGATTGGCATAAAGTATTATATGGTTATTTCCCCCTCAAAATTCTGGAACTGTATGAAAGGACATAAGTGCTATGAAGAGGAGGGTCTAAGACTTGAAGAAAGGTTACTCATAATCAAGAGATTTTTCCAGTATGATGAAACAGAGAGAGGGAGGCAGCACTGGGAAGACAAACAGACTGACTCTTTGAAAGATGCTCGCTTTATTTGGAGTCATGCAAGAGTCTGGACAAGCCTAGATGGAAAGGGCAGCCAGCACGCAGGAATCAGAAGGGCAGTGGTGATGTACAGTTATTAGCTGCAGGTGAAATAGTAAAAAATAAACAACCAAGAGCTTCTTAAGGGAAATTTATTAAGGGTTACTAAAACAGAAGATTTCAAATGTTAGGCTACTATTCTATTTCACAGTGGAATTTGAGTCATATGAAATAACAGGTCTTTGAGAAAGTCCAAAGCTAATGCTATTCTTAAGAATATTGGCAAAAATGTTATTAACATGCAAGTGGGAATCCCCCAGACATATGGACATCTCTTGCCTCTTTGTTCTGTATGTAACCTGAAAGTAGGGATAATGACACAAGGCCAGTAGGTATCACAAAAGTCCCACTAAGTTGGGAATCTTAATTGTAAACTCGTACCAACCATTAAAGGTGTACCACGAGCCAACATGGCAACTCTACCTGCTCATGCTAGAAAGCCTATGTTTGCTGCTACTGCTCCCAGGCCATACAGTCTGAGATTAGTTTGGTTTCAGAGTTTCACACTTTGTTCTGTCCAAAGAACCAATGTGTCTTTTACAGTTCAAAGACAGATGCCCAGACACACCTGGTGATGATGTATGAATAGCCAAAAGTTGTTTGGAGGAAAATGAAAGAAAAGAAGACATGGAAACGTACAGCAGGAAGAATATGGTACTATTCCCATAGGTAGTACCAATATCCCAGAATCTTCCATACTTTTACCACCTGCTTTT